CTAAACACCTCAGGCACTGACAGCATCGTCATTCATGGATATACACTCACCTCACTGAGCCAGTACGGATTGTTTGTGTCTTGTTTGACCAACTGTCCTTTAAATGCCACATTCGTGCTTCCTCTCTCACCAGTACTATAACCCGCATGAAGTCCACCACCTGTTTCCTCAACTGCATCCCTAACCCTCTCCTTACCTCCCAGCTCCACCTCCTCACCCCTTTTCTCTCAGACCTCGTCCTGTTAACTGGCACCATTCCCATACCCCTAAAAACAGCTGTCATCACCTCTATCCTAACAAAACCTTCCCTGGACCCATCCCTGCTCACTAACTACCGCCCCATTTTCCAACCTTTTCAAAGTCCTTGAAAGAGTTGTTGCTTCCCAGCTTCACTCCTTTCTCTCCTGCGACTCCCTTTACAAACCCCTCCATTCAGGTTTCCATTCTGCCCACAGCACAGAAACCGCCCTGGTCAAGGTGACAAATGACATTCTGCCCATCTGTGACCAGGGCTCCCTCTGTCTCCTCTCCTCCTCAACCTCTCTACTGCCTTTGACATTATGGGCAACTCTATCCTCCTCCACCGCCCGGCCTGCCCCATGAGCGATCTAGCCTTCAGCCTCTACCCCTACCCTCCCTCTGGAACACCATCCCACATTTCCTTCACCTCGCTCCCTCCCTTGCCTCCTGCAAAGCATGACTCAAGCCGTGCCTTCAGCCACCGTCGTACCCTCTCTGCCCTTCACCCTCCCTGATCCTAACCCTCAACCCTAAACTGACTGTTCAGCGCCTTGGGACGTCTTCCCGATGTGAAAGACGCTTTACAAATATAATTTTGTATTGTACTGTACGACCTGTTTGTCCTTCCGCCACCTCCGCAATATCGCCAATATTGCTGAGACTCTCATCCACGCCTTCATTACACCTTGGCTCAACTACACTAACTCCCTGCTCGCAAAAGGCAGATTATTATTGTGACCTGCCTCAAAACCTTCATCTTCGATTGTGCCTTTGTTCATCTTCCCACCTCCCCCTCCCCCCCTTTTCCCTACCCCGCTCTCGATTCCAGTCCCCAGAACATGTGCAAGCCTTTCACTGTCCAGTGCTTTGGAACATCCTTCGATGTGAAAGGTGCTAGATAAATGCAATCTGTTGTTGTTGTTTAAACCCCACTTCCGAAATATCGCCAGTCTCTGCCATTACCTATACCCCAGGCTATCAAGATCCTCATCCATACATTTACCACATCCAGGCTTGACTATGTTAACGTTCTGTTCTCCAGACTAACAAGTTCTTCCCTACACAAGGTGCAGATTATCCAGTTTGCTGCAGCTTGTATCTTTTCCCGCACTAGGCTCTGTGAACCTATCGCCCCATCCACATCCTGACTCCCCATCCCCCAGCAGATAAATCATAGAATCATAAAATTATACAGCACAGAAGGAGGCCATTTGGCCCATCGTGTCTGTTCCAACTCATTGAAAAGAGCTTCCAGGACAACCCCACTCCCCCGCTCTCTCCTCATAACCCTCCCCAAATAGTTACCTACTTCTCTCTTAAAAGTTGTTATCAAATCGGCTTCCACCGGCCTTTCAGGCAATGCATTGCAGATCCCAACAACTCGCTGTGTGAAAATATTTCTCCTCACCTCCACTCTGGTTCTTTTAACAACTGTTTTGAATCGGTGTCCTCGGGTTACCGACCCACCCACCAGTGGGAATAGTTTCTCTTTGTTCACCCTATCGAATCCCCTCATTATTTTGAAAACTTCCATTAAGTCTCCTCTTAACCTTCTCTGCTCCCAGGAGAATAACCCTCGCTTCTCTCGCATCTCCTGATCACTGAAGCCCTCATTCCTGGTACCATTCTGGTAAATCTCCTTTGCACCCTCTCCAATGCCTTGACATCCTTCCTCAAGTGTGGGGTCCAGAACTGAAAAGAGTCTCTCACTGAGGCCTCACCAGTGTTTTAGATAAAGGTTCATCATAACTTCCTGACTGTTGTATTCTATGCCCCTATTTATAAGGCCTGGTATCCCATAGGCTTTTTAACAGCTTTATCTGCCTGTCCGCCACCTTCAAAGATTTACTATATGACCCTCAGGTCTCTCTGTCCCATCAGCTTATATTGCCTCTCCTCATTCTTCCTCCCAAATTGCATCACTTCACATTTCTCCACATTAAACGTCATCTGCCACGTGTCTGCCCATGTTACCAGTCTGTCTATGTCCATTTGCCGTCTGCTACTCTCCTCCTCACTGTTTACTACTTTTCCTAACTTAGTATCATCTGCAAACTTGGAAATTGTCCTCCCTATACCCCAGTCCAAGTCATTTATATAGATCATAAACAGCAGTGGTCCCAATACCGACCCCTGGGGGACACCACTGCACTTCCCTCCAGTCAGAAAAACAACCATTCACCACCACTCTCTGCTCTCTGTCTCCCAGTTCTGTACCTGCTGCCACTGTCCCTTTAATACCGTGGGCTTCGATTTTGCTTACAAGCCTCTTAAGTGGCACTTTATCAAACGCCTTTTGAAAATCCATATAAACTACACCAACTGCACTGCCTTCATTGAAAAGTAAAAATGTATTTTGTCATGGATCCCTACTACTGACATTAGGCTGACTGGCCTGCAGTTCCCTGGTTTATCCTTCTGCCCCCTTTTTGTGCAGGGAAGTAACATTTGCAACCTTCCAGTCCTCTGGCACCATCCCGGTATCCAAGGAGGATTGAAAGATTGTGGCCAAAGCCTCCATTATTTCCACCCTTACTTCCCTCAGTAACCGAGGATGCATCCCGTCCGGACCGGGTGACTTATCTACCTTGAACACTGACAACCTTTTTAGTCCCTCCTCTCGGTTTATTCTTATCTTATCCAAATTCTCTACCCTCTCCTCTGTGGAATTGGCTGCATCTTCTTCTTTTGGGAAGACAGATGCAAAGTACATGTCATCAGTACTCAGTACGTCATCCATGCCCTCTGCCTCCACAAGAAGATTCCTCTTTGGTCCTTAATTGGACCCACCCTACCTTTGACTACCTTTTATTCTTTAAATACAAGATTTTTCTTCTAACCTTTAAATCCCTCCACGATCATGCCCTCCTACCTCTCTGTGACCTTCTTAAAGCATATCCACCCAATCTCTCCCTTCACTCAATGAGCACCGATTTTCTCCACATCCCCCACCATCTAGAGTCTGACCCTATTTCCCACTCTCTGAAACTCCATCCGAAAGTCCCTCCAACTAGCTCCTTCTTTCTCCTCATTCAAGGTTTGTCTCAAGATCTACTGCCTCTTTGACCATGCTTCTATCCTCTCCTTACCCAGCCCCAGCTTAGGTGCCAAGCCAGGAGTATTAAGTACCTTGAGAGGTCATCCCGAAGTGAAAGGCATTGGGATTGTAAATGTAATTTTGTAAAATTTACAAATGTAAATTTGTATTGGAAATGTAAAGGAAAATAATAACGCTTGCATTTGTGGAGTCCTGCAGTTTAGTGGTTAGAGCACTCCTCTAGCAAGCGAGAGGACTTGGGTTCAATTCTCGGCAGAGCGAAACATTGTTCATTTCCTTTCTCCACACACCTCTGTTTACCTAGCAGTGAGTAGGAACCCGGTTATTAGTCGATTGGCGGATCACTTTCCGGTGGTAATAAGCCCTTCAAAAAAACTAACAAAAACTAATAATAATTTGATCACTCAATCCACGACTGTTTGTGGGACGCTGCTATTCGGAATTGCCACATTTCACCCACAAATATACGGTCAATGAACTTTACAGTCTTTTTTGTGAAGTGCTTTGAGACGTTTAGAAGAAGTGAAAAGCACTATATCAAATGCAAGGATTATTATTATTAAGAGGATGTTTCAAAGAGCTTCACAGCATTCATTGTAAAGTATAGTGACTGCTTATTTTGTAGATGAACACGGCAGCCAATTAGCACACACAATGTCCCACAAACAGCCATGGAATGAACAACCTATTTTATTGGACTATTAGACAAGACACCGGGAGAAACTCCCTTCTCTTTTTGAATTGTGCCAATTGGATCATTAATGCCCACCTGAATAGGCACACATGCCCTTGATTTAATGTCTCATCTGAAGGGTGGCAATGTAGTGTTTCCCCAGATCGAGACAGAGTTCAATACCCCAACATGGGGCTTGATCCTACAACCTTCTGACTCAAAAGGTGGATTCAGGCCTCCTGAGCCATGCCCACACCCAAAATGGAGGTTGAATCTGAAGGACAAATACTTTTCCCCAAATACTAGGTCATTACAAGAGGAAACGATCTCCATTTCTACAGAACCTTTCAATCAGCCTGGCTCAGTTGGTTGTACTCTTGACTCTAGAGTCAGAAGTTCAAGTCACATGTCAGGACTTGGAACGCATATAGTGTAAGCTGACACTCCAATGCAATGCTGGGTTGCACTACACTGTCAAAGATGCCATTCTTCAGATGAGATATTAAACAGAGGTCTTGTCTATCTGTTCAGGTGTATGTTAAAAATTGCATAGCACAATTCGAAAAGAGAAGAATTTCTCCTCTCCCAGTGTACTGGCCAACAAATCCCCAAGATAAAATTGTGGAGATTTGCTGTGGTCAAATTGGCTGTTGTGTTCGTCCACATAAATACAGCCACTCCACTTTACAGTAAAATCCTATGAAGCACTTTAGAGACGTCCTCCCGCCATAAAAGGCGCTGTATGAAATTATCATTATATCATCATTATTATTTTACGTAGGACGAATATCTCAGTGATTTACAAAGAAAATAGGAATTACCAAAACAAGAAAAAAAGGGGAAATTTAGGGATATTGACCAAAGGCACAAAAATACATTTTTAAGAGTGTTTTGAAGGCTAAGGGATTTCGAAAGAGTGTTCCAGGGAGCAGGGATGTATGGACGAAGGCTTGGCCACTAATGATAGGATCATCAGAATGAGGAATGAATTCTAGACCAGAGTACAATAAAGGAAGAGCAAGGAATTACCTGACTGTCTCCATCCAATGGTTCCTCTGAATCTCAGGGCCTCTCTGCTGATAGACAGAGCATTGTTGTTGCTGCTGGTATATGGAGCATTGTTGCTGCTGTTGCTGATAAACAGAGCATTGCTGCTGCTGCTGATACTGATACACAGAGCACTGCTGCTGTTGTTGATACACTGAGCATTGTTGCTGCTGTTGTTGATACACTGAGCATTGTTGCTGCTGTTGTTGATACACTGAGCATTGTTGCTGTTGTTGTGGGTTAATGGGTGCCACTAATGGACTGTTGACCAGTAAAGGAGGAGCTGTGGAGGGTGGACGCTGAAACTGCACCATTTGTAGAGCTGGCACTGTTTGCTGCGAGGTTGGTAAAGTGGGAGGATGTTGAGAGGTGGTCGGCCTATATTGTGTTGAAAGTCCAGGCTGCATTCGAGTATGATATGATGGTACAGGCCTTGCAATGGGGTAACTGCTCGCTGTGGGCGATTGACACGAGAGATTTGCTGCCTGGGTGGTGGAGGTAGGACCAGCTAAGCCCCTCGGAAATGCAGCATCTACATAAAAAAAATTCTGGTTCAGCAAATGAACTGTTTGTTCCATTAACAAACCGTATGAAGCTTAGCAAGCAAACTTATCTAATTGTTTAAATAAAGCTTTAAAGTGCTTTATAGCAGTGAATTTATTGAGCAAAGAATGCATCTGCTGGTTGAAGCTACATTCACTGCAGCACATTGTTATGAAATTGAAGAAATTTGCAGTTGGCCACTAATGATAAACAGGATACAACCCTGCAAAGTTACTCATCAGAAGAACACTATTTCAGTGACACTCAGCCTCTCCATTCAATTAGCATGAGTGGGCTTCATATGGTAGAACACTGCAGCAAACAAATATTTCTCCACGAATCACCCCATCAAATCCCATTCTCCTACTCCCCCCACACCCTTTAATATTTCATATTTATGGAATTCTGTTTGATTTGGATACTCTTAAGCACGTTGATGGGTTTCCGCAAGTGTCAATCACCTGGCTGCCCAATTCAATATTTCTCTTCTTCAAGTATCTCATTTCCTTTTAAACACTGATCTTCTGTGAAACAGAATTTATGCATCCCTCCAGTATACTTTCTCAGACTGGAGGTAAGTATACAGTAGTGTCACCCAGGGGTTAGTATTAGGACCACTGCTCTTTTTAATCTATATAAATGACCTGGACTTGGGTATAGGGAATACAATTTCCAAGTTTGCAGATGATACAAAGCTAGTAAACGGTGAGGAGGATAGTAGCAGACGGCAAGAGGACATAGATAGACTGGTGAAATAAGCAGACACATGTCAGACGAAATTTAATGCAGAAAAATGCAAAATGATGCATTTTGGGAGAAAGAATGAGGAGAGTAATATAAGCTGATGGTACAATCTTAAAGGGGGTGCAGGAACAGACCTGGGAGTCCACATAAGCAAATCTTTGTAGGTGGCAGGACAGGTAAATAAAGCTGTTAAAAAAGCATACGGGTTACTAGGCTTTATAAATAGGGGCATAGAATACAAACGTAGGGAGGTTATGATGAACCTTTATAAAACACTGGTTTGGCCTCAGCTAGAAACTGTGTTCGGTTCTGGGCCCCACACTTTAGGAAGGATGTCAAGGCATTGAAGAGTGTGCAAAGGAGATGGTACCAGGAATGAGGGACTTCAATTATGAAGAGAGACTAGAGAAGCTAGGGTTATTCTCCTTGGAGCAGGGTAATGGAAGCCGATTCAATAACAACATTCAAGAGGAAAGTAGATAAATATTTGGGGAGGACAAATTTGCAGGGCTATGGGGAGAGAGTGGGGTTGTGGGACTAATTTGGACTAATAAGTAGTATTATTTTACATCAGGACGATGTATAAGGAAACTGTTCTCAATACTTTTTGGGTGCAAACCCCAAATTCTCCAGCACCTTGAGATAACCTCCCACCATGACAGGCTGTGTAAATGTAAATTTGTTGCTGTTTTGTGATTATCTCAAATTTGTGCCTCAGGTTACTGACTCTGTGAAAATCTATTGATATTAACCTGGTCACAACCCTTCATAATCTTGAAGACTCAAGCCAACCTTTTCAGTTGTCATGGAAAAAAAAGTCTCAACTGAAGTCTCCCTTCATTACTGAAGCCTATATTCAAATGAATCTGTATGCACTTTGTTCATTGCTTTACTAGACTCAGGGCAGCCCAAACTGTGTAAAAGATTCTCTTTTAAAATAAAACACCGCTACTCCAAATGCTCCTAATTGTGTTGTAAGGAACCCGGCAAGAAATGGCCAGTGATTTCACTTACACACTGTAGAACCTGACAGATGACATGGAAACTGGTGTGACATGCAGTGCTGTTGGTGGCTTAGATTTTCACTCAGACCTGGTAGATTTCTCCTCGTCTCGTTCTGGAGTATGCTGGGTTGATGCCAAGGTGCCAAAGTCACGCAGGTGGGTGATGGAGTTGCACTAGGCTGAGCAGGGCTGGACCGATTTTCATCACCCCCATGCAGGGGAGAACTGTGACGAAGCCAAGATTTCGGTGACAGGACGGTTGGTGACTGTACGGTGCTGGGCAGATTTCCAATCCCTTCCATTGGCTGAGAAGTATGGATTTGCTGAGGTGGTGCCTGTATTTCACTCTTCTGGGTATTTTCAATCCCACCAGCACTCTGTCCACTATTAGCAATATCACATGAAGAGACCTAAAGTTACAGGTACAATTAAATGTTAATGGTAAGGTTTTGCTGTGAAAATAAATAAAAATATTGATTTAAATTTACATTAGTATAAAACTCGCATAAGTCTGATCTATATAAATCGTATAATCGCCTAAGCCAAATGTACATCCAAAGAGCGTCACCTGATCATGTGGTGAGCGAGAGGGTGGGGACTTGTTGTCGTGGCAGGGGTTTCTCTGGAGCAGACCTCCAGCTCCTGCCGCTGCCAGATAGTGAGTCACACACATGCTCAATCACTCTCTAGTTTTCATAAGTATCACTTGGGACCATAACATCTAATAAGACCTATGCAAAGTATGAGTTATGTCAAACTTGCATAAGTCGTATCATATATGACTTATGTAAAGTTATGCACAAGTCAGATTTTATATGATTAACATAACAATTACAGTACACAAGTACTATAGTGGCTGGTGACATTAAGACAAGGTTTCTGTACCACGCATATTAAAGCTATGGTAGCCCATTCTTTCCATTTACAGTAATACACAGTTCTGAACCTCATGCAGAAAATATGTACTGGCAATGAATGGCACCAACAAAAACAGGTTTCAAAACAGAACCACTTTATTAGAATATAAACTCTTACAAAGATTGAGCAGGGTGGTCCAGTCTGGTGAGGGCCAGATGCCCTGTTTGAGAACTACAAAACTCTGCCCTCACGTCCCCTCACTTCAATCACTCTCTCTCTCCCTCTCTCTTTCTCAATCAACTGCGTTACTCACTATCCGTCAACGGGAACAGATGTGCGTGTGAGGAGGTTCACTATCGGGCAACAGTTGTTAAATAATAATCCTTGTATTTGATATAGCGCTTTTCACATCTTCTCGACGTCTCAAAGCGCTTCACAGAATATACTGTAAAGTGAATTGACTTTATATTTGTGGACGAAACACGGCAGCCAATTGCGCACAGCAGTGTCCCACAAACAGTCGTGGATTGAGTGACCAAATTATTATTGTTTTTTTTAATAGAGATTATTGTGCCTGGAAAAGCGATCTGCCAATCAAGTAACAACTGGATTCCCACTTACTGCTGGGTTAATGTGGAGTAAGGAAACTTGCCCAACATTTGGCCCTGCCGGGAACAGAACCCAGATCTCTCACTTGCGAGGTGAGTGCTCTAACCACTGAGCTACAGGATTCCTTAGGAGTTGATTCCTTTCCCTCCCCACCCCCACACTGTCCACGATGACTTGAGGTTACCCCATGGGAGGGATGGATCGGAGAGTGTTGGGGTGCGTATGTGCTTCTATTTGTAGTGGGTGTGGTGTGCGGTATCTTATTTTAGAGGCTGTGGGAAACAAAGTTTTGACCCGGCAACTGGCAAGTGGCGTTGCTAGTGGCGTTATGGAAGTTATGCGGTTGGTATTGCAACACAATGCAAAATTATATTTGTACAGCGTCTTTCACGTCAGGAGGATGTCCCAAGGCGCTGGACAGTCAGGGATTTCGACCCGAGCTCGGGGTCAGGATCAGGGAGGATGGAGGGCAGGGAGGGTAGGAGCGGCCGAAGGCTCGATTGAAGAAGAGGGTTTTGAGATGCGTATTGAAGAAGACAAGGGAGGGAGTGAGGTGAAGAGAATGTGGGACGGAGTCCCATAGATTGGGAGCAGAAAGGCTGAAGCCCCACTCCCCGAGGTGGGGCGGGCCGGGCCGGGGTGGGGGTGGGGGGGGAACCTGGAACTCACCACAGCCTGCTGAGCGGAGATTGTGGACAGGTCATGCAGGTCATGCATGGGGTCAGTAAGTCACATAGCTAGGGAGGGGGCAAAGCAGTGAAAGGCCTTGATGGCGAGGATGAGGATTTTGAACTCTATCTTCTGAGGGATGGGGGGCCATTGGAGTCGGACGAGGGTGGGGGTGATGGGGTCACAGAGCCATGTGCGGGAGAGGACATGAGCTGCAGAGTCTGGAAGTTCTGCAGCTTGTGGAAGGAAGAGTTGGGGAGGACGACAAGCAGGGAGTTGGCGTAATCGAGCCTAAATGTGATGAATGCGTGGATGAGGATTTCGGCGGCCTGCGGTGTGAGACAGGGACGGAGCCGGGTGATGTTGCGGAGGTGAGGAAGGCACAGTATATGGCACTGATGTGGGGTAGATAGAACAGTTGAGGGTCGACCAAGACTCCATGGTTCCACACTTGCTCAGTGAGGTGGAGTGTGCATCCATGGATGGTGATGCTGTCAGCGCCCGAGGTGAGGAGGCACTGACGGAAGCCAATCAGTTGACGTTCAACTGTAGAAAGTTCGCTCTCATCCAGGACTTGATGTCTGACAGACATTCTGTCAGGACAGCAGTGGGTCCTGGAGTCAAGGGTGGAGGCAGAGAGGTAGAGTTGGGTGTCATCCGCATGTGGAAGTTCACCCCAATTCTGCGATGATGTCGTCAAGAGGGAACATGTAGATATCGAAGAAGAGGCGATGAAAGACAGAGGCCTGAGGAAGGTCGCAAGAGACGACCAGTTAAAACGGCTAATGCATGTTAATTAAAAGTGAATTTAATAGCATTTAATAACATTCTGTCAGGACAGCAGTGGGTCCTGGAGTCAAGGGTGGAGGCAGAGAGGTAGAGTTGGGTGTCATCCGCATGTGGAAGTTCACCCCAATTCTGCGGATGATGTCGTCAAGAGGGAACATGTAGATATCGAAGAAGAGGCGATGAAAGACAGAGGCCTGAGGAAGGTCGCAAGAGACGACCAGTTAAAACGGCTAATGCATGTTAATTAAAAGTGAATTTAATAGGAAATTGAACGGGACTTGGGCAGATATAACACTTAGGCAATTGTACGATTTATACCGATCAGACATGCGTGTTTTATGGTACACGCAAATAAATAACCTTAAAAATACACAGTACAGTATTACAAATGAAACATCATAGATCCTGTCCCCTTGTCCTAGAGCTAAATGGTCACGAAACGAGTAAATGGGCAGTTCAACTGTAGAAAGTTCGCTCTCATCCAGGACTTGATGTCTGACAGACATTCTGTCAGGACAGCAGTGGGTCCTGGAGTCAAGGGTGGAGGCAGAGAGGTAGAGTTGGGTGTCATCCGCATGTGGAAGTTCACCCCAATTCTGCGGATGATGTCGTCAAGAGGGAACATGTAGATATCGAAGAAAAGGCGATGAAAGACAGAGGCCTGAGGAAGGTCGCAAGAGACGACCAGTTAAAACGGCTAATGCATGTTAATTAAAAGTGAATTTAATAGGAAATTGAACGGGACTTGGGCAGATATAACACTTAGGCAATTGTACGATTTATACCGATCAGACATGCGTGTTTTATGGTACACGCAAATAAATAACCTTAAAAATACACAGTACAGTATTACAAATGAAACATTACACATATCAGCCACCCCCTCACCTAGAAAGGTGGTAGTTAAAATCACCGTTCATCACAGATAGATTTTCTCTTCTCTCCCTACTACTCAGTAGTAATACAGTTCCAGAATAAATGAGTGCACATCATAGATCCTGTCCCCTTGTCCTAGAGCTAAATGGTCACGAAACGAGTAAATGGGCAGTAACTCCATGCAATTCCTAGTTTAAATTAAAGCTGCACCTGCATCAGCGTTTTACAAAAAGTAAAGGTCTGGACACAGAATCCTGAAAGCAGTGGAAGCTTCAGCTTAAAGTAAACAAATAAAAGGACAGCAGGATTCGTGCATATTCGTGTTCATCAGGATATTAATTAAGTGCCCAAGATACAGTTTTCTATTCACTGACCATGACCTCATCCTGGATGAGCACATTGATATTCTTGGGCTTCAGGAAATGTGGCTCTCCCCTGGTGACCCTAGCCCCCTCGTTGAAGCCTCCCCTCCTGGCCACACTTTTCACCAGATGAGTATAAAGATGAAATGTCTGTCTATCTGTCAATCTCCATTCCATATTGGATCCTTTGGTTGCCAGCAAAGCTGCAACGGGTAAGCTGGTATGTAATAATGTTGTTTCACTTGAAGCAATGTTAACCGATCGTTAATGTTAAAATACTCACTGAATCCAGTAAAATAGATTGACTTTGTTTGGCTGCAAAAGATAGTCCAGTACTTTCCCACCCAGCAGAGCAGAAGCGGGGCTTCCTCCACCTGCTGCCGTTCCCATTGGTCGGGAAGGGACTCCACCCATTCACAAGCAGCTCAGCTGTCAATCAATCGTGATTTCCCTCCCTTATTCTTTCCCGTTCCTCCGCCCCCCTCTGATTGACAGCTCAACTCCAGCTGCTTGTGAATAACTGGAGTCTGCTGTCATTCGCAATTTGACTCCTCCCATCTATATCCTGGAGCCCCTCATGGCTGAATATAGCCGTTAGACACACAGTGAGTGTATTGAACGGTGACCAGCGTGAATTTTACCCGGATTAACTGGATTTTCGTCCAAATTAACAGGCATATTTAAAACAGATAAAAATACAGATGAATCGGGGATGGGCATTTTGTTCTATTTACCCATCGTCCGAGGTTAACCAGAGTCCAGCAAAGCGGATTCCACTGTATTTGAAAGATCTACTCTAACGAAGCTATCTTAAGCCCACGAACAAGGGATCATCCACTTACACAGAGTATCATCATCGGTGGCTGCTCAAACGCATTCACTTTTCTGGACAAGCTAGAATTTTACCTGATGCTGTCTGTTACTCAAGGTCTCGCCTTCTCTGGAGCTTACACCGCTGTGGGGTGACTGTGGGTTCCCCTGTTGAACTGGCTGTTGAATGTGCCGGAACTCAGTCTGTGGGCAGTGTTGATGCGGGTGGTGGATCCAGGACTGATGGCTTTGGCGGGTGAGAAACTGAGTATTGGAATGGAGGTGGTGGGGCTGCGAATAATGGTCTTGGGCAAGGCCCAATCTGTGTGAGCCCGGTCTGGTAGAACTGCAGGCACAGCGCTGAGAGCAACAGGCAGGAGATGTGGATGATCGGTGGTGTTGGCATGATAGGGAAGCAGTTCTACTGCTAGAACAAGGAATACCGGCCTCACCTGTAAAACATTGGTTAGTAAATATACAGAGAAAGAAACAGTAATAGGGGCTGAGAGAGATGATCACACAAAGATCTTTCACAATATTATTTCATGAAAATCATCCTCTTCATTTTGAAAAATGAATCTATTTACAGATTATGTCAACTTGACGCAACGACTTGAACCATTTGTACTGTTCAGTACCTTGGGACGTCCTCCCGACATGAAAGGCACTATACAAATGTAATCTTCTTGTTGTTCAGATGAATGGTAACAACCCTGCTGTGTTCACTACTGTAATTATTTGTGCAGAGTGTGTGGCAATGACCAATAACAGTTATGATAAAAACTCTAACCCTTAAAAGCATTAACCTAGCTAACGTTTTGGTGATTTATCCATTATTTTTAACCTTCTTACAATTATATTTGAATTACAGCAATGCAAATGGCCATTTCCCAAAGGATGGAGGCAGCAGGAAGTTTGGCAGTCAATCAGGGCTCAAGACAGAAAGAGAATGGAAAGCAAATGGAAGGGAGTTCCAGAGGTTAGGCGCATAGTATCTAAAGACCACCTCGATGGTGGTGCAGAGAAGGTGCGGGACGTATAGCAAGCCCAAGTTAGTCAAGCAGTGGGGGTAAGCAGAGGAGTCGGGTAGGAGAGGAACAGAAAGATGAGGTGCTAGTTACTGTATGGATATCCCAGAGATGCTGTCCTGTGTTGTATACCCACTTAGTACATTTTCTTTATTCATCACAAATTGGGGTCCGTTGTGGCTTATCATCATCAACAGCAAAAACAACAGCAGCAAAATTACATTTGTAAAGCGCCTTTCATATCAGGAGGTCGACCCAAGGTGCTCAGCAGTCGGGGATCAGGACCCGAGCGTGCGTGGTGGCAGGGGGACAAGGTTGGGATGAGGGAGAGCAGAGAGGTAGGAGGCCGGCTGTAGGCACGGTCGAAAATGAGGGACTTGAGTTGTGCCTTAAAGGAGAAAAGGAAGGGAGCGAGGCGAAGGGATTGTGGGATGGAATTTCAAAGGGTGGGGGCAAAGAGGCTGAAAGCCCAGCCGCCGATAGTAGTGCAGGTCAGGAGGGAGACATGGAGCAGGCCGGACCTGAATGGAGGGAGCAGACAGGTTGATAGGGGGTCAACAGGTCAGAGATGTAGGAGGGGGCAAGGCCGTGGAGGGCCTTGAAAGTGAGGACGAGGATTTTGAATTCTATCCTCTGAGGGATGGGGAGCCAATGGAGCCGGGCGAGGGTGGGGGTGATGGGGTCACGGAACCTGGTGCGGGAGAGGACATGAGCTGCAGAGTTATGGATGATCTGCAGCCTATGAAGGGAAGAGTTGGGGAGGCCAACAAGGAGGGAGTTTCTGTAGTCGAGCCTTGAGGTGACAAATGCATGTATGAGGGTTTCAGTGGCCTGAGGGGTGAGGCAGTGGTCGAGGCGGGCAATGTTGAGGAAGTGGGGGAAGGCAGAGTGGGTCATGGCACAGATTTGGGGGAGAAAGGACAGTTGAGGATTGAACAAGACCCCCAGGTTCCTAACTGGCTTGGTGAGGTGGAGTGGGCAACCGTGGATGCTGATGCTGCCAGTGCCTGAGGTGCGGAGGCGCGAGCCAATCAGGAGAGCCTCGATTTTTCTCACATTCAGCTGTAGAAAGTTGGTTCTCATCCAGGACTTGATGTCAGACGGACATTCTGTCAGGACAGCAGTTGTCCTAGAATCGAGGGTGGAGGCAGAGAGATAGAGTTGGGTGTCATCCATGTCTGAGGATGATGTCACCAAGGGGAAGCATTTAGAGGTTGAAGAGCGAGGGGACTGAGGACAGAGCCCTGAGGAACACCACAGGAGACTGTGCGAGGGCTGGAAGGGAAACCGTAGGAGGAGACAAATTGGAGGTGGTGTGAGAGATAAGACCTGAACCATTCAAGGACAGAACCTTGAAGGTTTATGTCAGAGGAGAGGCAGTGGAGGATGGAGTGGTCCATGTCATCGAAGGCAGCAGAGGTAGAGGAGGCAGAGGGAGCCCTGATCACAGATGGGCAGGATGTCGTTTGAGACCTTGACCTGAGCAGTTTCTGTGCTGTGAGCAGCACGGAAATCCAATTGGAGGGGCTTGTAAAGGGAGTGGCAGGAGAGGAATGAGCGAGGCTGGGAAGCAACAACTCTTTCAAGGAGCTTGGAAAGAAAAGGGAGGTTGGAGATGAGCCAGTAGTTAGAAGGCAGGGACGGGTCCAGGGAAGGTTTTTCCAGAATGGGGTTGATTGTAGCTGTTTTTAATGGGATGGGAACGGTGCCACATGACAGCGAGAGATTGATGGTGTCAGAGAGTAGGGGGGGTGAGGAGATGGAGCTAGGAGGTAAGGAGAGGAGAGGGGATGGGGTCAAGGGAGCAGGTGGTGTGTTTCATGCTGGATATGGTGTGATGAGAGAGGAAAGGGTGACAGGTTTGAAAATGTGGAGGGAGGGATGGGTAGGGGTTGGAGTGTGGGGGAGGTGATGGGGAGGGAGTGGCGGTGGGAGGGCGGAGGCAGCTGAACGGATCCCCTCGAGTTTGGACTCAAAGAAATGCAGCATTTCCTCACAGTCAGAGCTTGAGGAGAGAATGAGCAAAGAGTGGGAGGGTGGATAAGGAACCAGTTGGTGGTGGAGAATAGGAGCCTGGGGTTGTCCTTCGACTCCAAGGTTATCTTAGAGTAGAAGGATGATTTGGCAGAGGCGAGGTATGTTTTGATGCAGTCCAGCCAGATCTGACAGTGGGTCGTTAGGTCAGACTTGAGCCAGATGAGTTCAGTGACCCACACCTGACCCTTGAGGAAGCAGAGATGTCTGGTGTACCAGGGTGAGGTTCGTGAGTAGGAGGCAGTTTGGGAAGTGAGGGGGGCAAGGGCATCAAGTGCGGTGGGAGGGAGTTGTGGAGGAGAGTGAGCGAGCAGGATAAATCAGTGCGGGAGGTAGGCAGAGCGGGGGATGTTCAGATGACTCCACTGCAACGGAGAGAGATTGCAGGAAGATTTTTATCCAGAGGCGGTAGGAGATGGAGGTGAGTTTGGTGGAGATGGGGAGAGGGATTGAGGAGTTAAAGGAGATGAAATGGTGATCGGAGGTGGCTTTGTCTGTGATTGTGACACTGAGGTCCCGGATAATCACCAGGTCAAGTGGGTGGCCATGAATGTGGGTGGCAGAGCGGATGAGGAGGGAGGGTGGGAGAGGAAAGAGGAGAAGTCCGAGAAGATAGAGCACAAGGGGTTGAAGTAAAGGTTGAAGTCACCGAGGATGAGGGGGCGTTCAGAACAGAGGCTGAGGGAAGCTAGGAGGGTGGAGACGATGACAACAATAACAACAAAATTAGATTTGTATACATCAGAGATAATGATAATACACGATTCCATTTGTAGAGCACCTTTCACGTCGGGAGGACGTCCCAAGGCGCTGGACAGTTGGGTCGGGACCCGAGCAGGGGGGAAATGGTCAGGGTGATGGGAGGGAAGGGAGGGAGCGAGGAGGGGGTAGAGTCGAGAGGGGGAGCTGAAGGCACGTTGAAGAGAATAATAATAATAATCCTTGCATTGGATTAATAATAATCCTTGCATTTGATTATGGTGCTTTTCATGTCTTCTAGACATCTCAAAGCGTTTCACAGAACTATGAACAAGTGAATTGACTGTATATTTGTGGGTGAAACGCGGCAGCCAATTACGCACAGCAGCGTCCCAGACAGTCGTGGATTGAAGTGACCAATTTATTGTTTTTTTTTGAGGGATTATTATCAGGCGTGTGGAGTAAGGAAAGTTGCCCAAGAATTCGCCCTGCCGGTATCTGTACCCAGGTCTCTCACTTGAGAGGCGAGTGCTCTAACCACTGAGCTACACGACTCCACAGATGAAGGTGGGTGTGATTTTGGGGGGAGCGTTAAATGAGGAGAATAATTTCTGGTATTCCGTGCCTTACAAAAATCTATCCTCTTAGGGGGTGGGGAGGTAAGCGGGTCAACTTCGATCTGAACCAGCTACAAGGTAACAGTATGGCAACAGAATGTTGGAATTAAGCCAGCCCTCTGTGGAGATCTCAATCTTCCGCTTCCTGAGCCAGGCGGTTTGCAGTATTCCAGGGCACTGCTGATGACAGCACAGCCAGTCTGGCTCATCGGGACTTACGATGGCAGGCTGGGGGCAAGAAGTCATCCTAGTCAACGCCTGTTAACCTTGCAAACCAAAGCCCTAACGCGTAGGGTGGACTTTCATTGGATAAGTAGTGGGAAAGCTTGCCAGACAGCAATATCAATGGCACTCTATGTGGTTTTAGCTGGTTAGACTCCAGGATTTACCCCAACACATTCTCTGGGGTCCCCAAGTCTTGGCTCTTGCAATCTGCGCTTGATACTTTCCGGCATTGGGTAAGCAGGATGCGTCCCTCCAGTGAGAGAGAGAGAGAGAGAGAGGGGGAGTGCATTCCATTCCAACAATCTACCTCTGGAATTTACATGTAGGTGGGATGCATGGAATTCTAAGTTTGCTTAAGATACTCTTAAACACGGTGATGTGCTATGCCAAAAGAAAAATGCGGAAAAACACAGCAGCCAATTGCTTACAGCAATGTTCCACAAATAATCATGGATTGAGTGACCAAATTATTATTATTATTTTTATTTTTTTGAAGGGATTATTAACCCCAGAAAAGCGATCGAATAGCAGTTCCTACTTACTGCTAGGTAAGAGATGTGTGGTGTAAGGAAACTTGACCAATGTTTCGCCCTGCCAGGAATCGAACCCAGGTCTCTCGCTTGCAAAGTGAGTCCTCTAACCACTAAGCTATCTGCTTATTCAAAATAACGAAACGTGTACTAATATGAGGTAGTCTTTTTCTTTGTAGAAGAACACGATTGCCTTCTCCTGGTTTTGATATCAGGCATATGTCATATTTGCCAGTATAATTTCTGTGTTTGTTAATGCTGAGCCAAAACACTACCTCTCTTGCTCTTCGCTTGGCTCTTTCCATTCCCCGCTGTCTTT